ACCCTTTAGCAGCCTCCCGTTCTTATGAGAAAATAAGGCACACATACAACGTAAGCACTAAGAAGGCACATGTAGATACAGACACACAAGCTATTGATGTGTGGTATAGACCAAAGCACAAAGGAGTGCTAAGAACAAGGAATGGGGCTATCTCTTATTGTATCCATATCCCTGGACCTACCAAGTTCTTGGCACAGAGCAGCTGCTCAAAATCTATTTAACTTGTTGAGTGCTTACTGAGTATCAGGCATTATACTAGGTATCAGAAATACAGAAATGTGTACGATGTGGTCTCTGAACTCAAGAAGCTCATATGGGCTGGAACTGCTGTAGAGAAAACTTTAAGGTACAGCTGAGCCTTTGAGAAGGGAGAAGATGCAGGTGGGAGTAGATAAGGTAGGAGGAATGGGAACAAAGGCACCAGCCCAGGAATAAAAACAGTATTGTGGGTGATCATAGGGAGTGAGTGGGACACTGAGTAGGCTTCATCTCCCCAAGTAGAGAATTTATGTGGGAAGTTATGAGAAAAAACACTGATGGATTAAGGAAAACCTAGGTAATGACCTGGAAGACTAATACGGGAAACAACCAACTAACACTGTTTTAATTCTGAGAATGGACCCCATAGCGGGTATTTATGGTGCAGCTAATTTGAGTAGTGGAAATAAACTAGCTGGCTCGTGGCAGCACAATTTATTATGAGGATCATTAGGGAACTATTCCCACTACACACCATTCCCTCCGATTACCATAGCTTCCTCAGCCATTTTTATTATCAGTATAGGCCTTAGGGAAGTGCATAAAATTTATAATATGGAAGGCATTAAGGGGAAAATGAGATTTACTAGGCATTTTCTTAAATTTTCTTTTTTTCTTTTTTGAGAGAAAGAGAGAGAGTGTGGGGGAGGAGCAGAGGAAGAGAGAGAATCTTAAGCAGACTTCATGCTCAGCAGCACAGAGCCTAATGTGGGGCTCAATCTCATGACCCTGAGATCATGACCCAAGCCAAAATCAAAAGTCAGATGCTTAACCGACTGAGTCACCGAGATGTCCCTCTTAGATTTTCTTAACAGCAATGAATGAGTATGAACATGACTAAATATTAACAATGGTGTTCTACCAATTGTGTGAATTAGAATATGTTAAGCACTGCTTTGGGGAAGCAAAAGAAGATATTAAAGAATACTTGGGCGAGGCTGCAAATGCCTGAAAAAAATGCTCCACTCAGACCCAGGGAAGCTGGCTAACAAATAATATGGAGGGAGGGGACAGTTGCATTTCAAAGTAATTTCTTTATGATGAAATTGTTTTAATGAGTATAATTTTATTCCCATGTTGCAGAGAGAGACCTTTAATCTATTAAAATAAAATGTGTTCAAGAAAGAAGACTTTGTATAACATATAGTATAAATAAAAATAAATGGTTTTGGGAAATCATGGTAAGATTCTTCCTCTCCAAATAGTTCTATTTTCACAAAACAAGAAATAAATGCATCACAAGATGACCCTGAGAATCACAGACACAGTAGAAAGTCATCTAGAAAAAATTCAGCCAGACCCTTCAAACATTAAGCTGACATTCCTTTGCTAGTCTAACGTAGTGGAAACGTGTATAAGATTTGGAATCAGGCGGTTCTAGATCCAATTCCTAACTTTCCTACTAATTGTGTGATCCTGCAAACTCTGCCCAACGTCTCTGAACCTGCAGGTGTCTACATGATAAACTCAGAATAAGAATACTTACCACACATAAGGTTGTTGTGAGGATAAAATGAAATTAACACAGTGATATATACAGACTGTTCAGCACAGTGCTTTGTGGCCCAATGTAAGTGTGTGATATTAATATTAGATAGTTATTATTACTGATACTTCTAGTGTTACTATTATTAGTTTACTGAAACAGGAATATGCTGGATGGAATCAGAACACCTATATTTGCGTCCCAAATCAGTTACTACTAAGGATCTCTACTTCCTCACTTATTAATGGCAATACTATGCTGACAATAATATCTGTTTTGCCTAAATCATAAGACTATGGGAAGCTCCAAAGATAATGTATGTGTAAACTATAAACTGTCAAATTAAAAATATCCCCTAGAGTACACACCTAAATGAAAGAAACTCAGGTATAAGGTCATTTGCCTATACATAATGCACCAGGAATGTAATACTACTCCACTCTATTAGCATAAAGGGAAAATGACAGTCTGTCAGAAATGATGACCTTCTGTAAGACTGGCTCTTCAAAGTTGTGTTAAAATGGGGTATTACTGTTATGAATGAGAATCTTGTAAACATCTAGTAGTATACAGTCTACTCAACTTTAAAACTTGACCCTCTATTCAGAAAATGTGAACATAATCAGATATTTACTAATAATAATCCCCTCTACCAAGATTAATATGAAAACAAAGATAATTTTAAAAGTAATCACAAAACTGGGATGCAGTTAGGGAAAAGACAAAATTCCTTAAATTTCTGGGCAGCATCTAATTCATTTGAGAAGAATGTCAAGAGTTAATTTTACATTTTGCACTTGAATTGTCAGAAGTCTGGATATTCTAAGGTGACAAGTGTTGCTGGTATAAGCAATTACAGAAGGCCTGTCCAGAGCTCAGTGATGGATTGGTGAATGGCTGGCTGGATGGATGGGAGGAGGGATGGAAACTGTAACTCTAATTTTCTCTAATTTAACCCCCATGCCTATCCTTGGACATGAGCCAGGTAAAAATCATTCTCAACAGGTAGAAGAAAGAGATGGAATTTAAATAGTCTCCACCTATATCTGCTACCTTGTGATTTTTAAGAGTAAAGATTTAAGTTAGGGAAAAGTCAGCCCCAGGAAACCACTACAAGTAAACTGTAAAGAGAATTAAAATATATTTTCTCTGCTCATAATCAGCCTTACTTATGATTCCTTGATGATTTCCTGGCTTTTTTTTTTTTTCCACCACCCTGGAATTCTAGACCATGAGCAGGATGTCACAGAGATGGGGGTAGAATCAAAGTGGGCACTCCAGCCAATACTAAGCAAACATTGTCATGAGGGCTGGTTAAATGAAAAAAAGTGGGCTGGGACTGGAGTGCAAGGAGGGCTTTGGTCTTGAGACTGGAAAACAAAAGAAGGCTTAAGAATTCAAGATGTGAACAGTATGACTGCCCTCCCATCACCCAGTTCCTTATACAGCACTGGGCATACATGAAATAGGATTCCACGGGGTAGGGTCATGTGTGATTTTTCTGCTTGGTTATCAACTAACATTCTCTACTTCTTATTTCTATGTGTAGCAATTATGCTTGTCTGGTCTACTTCAGTGTAAATCCCCTTCAAAATAGTAAAGCATATAATAATATATTGAAAAGAGTTAAGTTCCTAAGAGGAGTTCAAGAGAGGAGAGGCCATATATCTGTGTTTGCTGAAAAGAAAGCCTTAGCTAGCCTCAGAGAATGTGGCAGTTTAACAGTTTTTTTTTAAAGCGGTTCAAAGATCTGTTTCGTCTCCCCAACTTTTGACATTGAAGATGAACATCTAAAATGTTTACAAGAGAAACTAAGTTTTTATTTGGAAAATAAAAAGGTAACAGAACAAAAAAGAATATGAGCAAAAGGATGTACTGCTCCCAATAATTCTGGGATAAATAAATACCATTCCTTGGAAAACAGTTTTCAAAAAAGCAAAGAAAAAAATTCTCCCTCCACTGGGACATGGAAAGGACACCGGAGCCCCTCAACTACTTAGACTCGTAAAGAGTGTGGGTGGGAAAAAGCAGTAAAGAACAGCGAGACCCTGTGAAGTTTCAACAAGAGAACTGGGTGTATAATAAATAATAATAAATGCAAGATACAGCTACAAAAATAGACGTGCGTATCCATAGGAAATAAACGGTGCAGTAAAGTAGAGCTAATCTGCATAGTGCTGTACGGAGAGATCAAAACCAAAATCAGCTGCTCAACAAGAAGGAAACGTAACCCAAATACGTTATACCAATATTTGCTTGAAAAAGAAAATCCACCCTTTGCACCAAACTCTCCCGATGGACAGGTGTCTCCTTGGGAGGGAGATAGCAGCCTCGCTGGGACTGAAGGCATAAATGGGCAGAAAGTTGTTCCAGCGGGAGCTGGGTCTCCCGCACGATGAGAGGCGCACGCCTCTTCCTTCCATATGGTGCTGAATGAACAGAGCAAGGCTCTGGAGGATGGGGAGAAACAACAGCCCCCCTCAAGTAGCCACTCCTTCAAAGCTCACACAGGGAGGGCCTACTGTCTCTCAAGGGCTTGAACAGGAGTGCCTTCTGCCTGCAGTGGGGTCTGAGACATACTCACTCCTTGCTTCTCTGACCAGCCTTTCTTGGCTCCTTGTCTGTCTGGTCTCCAATTACTTACTGAGTGTCAGATTTTTTTTTGTTTATAATTCCTGGCATAGGTTAAAACATATCAAATAAGGTTGCATTTGCAGCTCCCTAGAAAATGGTAACATGTACATGAAAATGGGAAATTGATGTTTCAAGGGTAAGTTCGCATTTAAGAACAAAAGGATAATGTGTTACCAATGAATCCGTGCAATCGTATGGGAGGTGCATCTGGACTAACAAGAACAAGACAGACAGCAGGCAGGACAGGAAACCCTGGCAGGACCGACTGATGCAAACGCTCCGCGTCCAAGAGAGCCCATCTCTGGCTAAAGATGTTTTCAAGGCAAAAGGGAATCTTAGGGAATTTTAAAAATGAGATGTACTTTCTTATCACTCACATGTAATATGTGCATTTAGAAAGAAATGACTCCCAAATTTTTGAGAACGAAGACATAAAAAGTGGTTTTTAAATGAACATCAAGCCTTAGATGAATTCCATGAGCCAGTGAACGTAATAATATACAAAACCAAACAAAACTATTTCAAAGAAATATAAGGAACTATGTATTATTATTAAAAATGTTGTTCTTTTACTATTCTACATGGTTTACTTTCTCGTTTACATTTTCAAAAAGGTCCTTACCTGGGCTGACTGTTCACCTTTTCATGTTTTCCGCTGAAGTTCAAACTGCAGAGGTTCTTCGATTTCGAATGTGAAGAGTCGGATTCCAAATTTGCCTGTGTTTGTTCTCTCAGACGATCGTGAAGAGTTGCCTCCTTTTTCAAGTTCATGTCTGAATACGGGCAGCCAAAAGCACTGGTTTGTAGAAAAATGAGCACACAGTTGTCAGTCTATAGCCATAAATCAGGAACCCACTGTCACTGAGCCAGACTTACATCCAGATTTTAAGAACTGAAGGGAGACCTTCTTTCACTGAGTACACCCTAATAAGCTTCTTTCCATCTTGCCCTTTGAATAAATTCCAGACCACAGACACTGGTCAGCAGAGTATGACAGGTAGAGTCATCAGCACATACAGTTTTTACAATTTTGAAAACTTAAACATCTAAGAATAACGTAATGATGTGCTTCAGGTACAGCAATGGAAATATTATATAAACACCTGATTCAAAGTTTGTATCCTCTGATATTTATGCCCTGATTTGACCACCTCATCACAAAATACTATGGGTCATGAAAACGATTCACCAGTATCAGAGAATATTATGCTTTTCTTTCTTAACATTCATGTATCCAGAAATACTGTATCTGTATTTCTGCTTAATCCTCCTGAAACCTACTAAGAAGTGTTGTGTTGGAATGTGAAGGAACACCTGAGATGAAAAAGGAGAGACCACAGTGAAGGCTGAGTCCCCAGTCTTGGGATGTTGTTTGGAGCCTAACTGGCAAGGATCTACCAGGACCCATGATCTGATTCTTTCTACAGACTATTTGGTAGTCTTCGTCAGATTTCTGTGCCCACATCCCTGTCTCCAAAGAAGCCCCAGACTTGCGCTGCTTAGGAGTAAGGCAGTCACTATCAGGAAAAGCCCAGGGGTGACAGGTCACCTGCAGGCAACTCCGGGGGGAGGCATTTCATACTCAAGCTTCTCTTTCTCTCCAGTTAAATGGGAAAATCAGACCCAATCCTAACACACACACACACACACACACACACACACACACACACACACACACACA